GAAGTGAGTCATGGGACAAGGAGAAATTAAGCCGGTACTCCCCTGGAAACTTTAATTCTACAGAGTAGCTTTTATAGTGCTGGCCGGTGCTGTGAGCACCACTGTAAGAGAAAAGCAGTCATTAATCTTACCTGGCTGTGAACCCTGCAAGCTACAATAATGATTGGCCTGGCAAGGCATGCCCACTGGTGTGACAGGATCACGAGCACAGGGGTAACCAACCACTCTGTTTTGCAAGATGAAAACCATACCTGGCACAACAACAGGGCCAAAAACCTGTTGTTATGTAGGTCTTAGGCCATAAGGGAGGACCTACTACTATTATTTTGCTAAGTGGATTAAAAATAGTATTAAAATGTATAAAAATAGTATTAAAAATGACTTGCCTAGCATTATACCCGTAGATTAATAAATCTTCTTCCAAGAAGCTAGTGTTTGTAGTAGATACTGGTTACATCAGAGACCCACTAATATGCAAGGTGCAGAGAATAAGAAATGACAGAATCCTTAGCCCTCAGTGGGACATTTATATCACATCTCCTCTTCGCAATGCTTAGGGATTATTGCAGAAGAGAAGACAGAAAGACTGTAACAGCCAGAAGCAGTGAGCAGATAACTACAGGACAGCAGTGTCTTCCAGAGCAGAGCATTTGTACAAATGAACTCATAGTGCTGGTAAAGGCATTCCACAGTGTGCATGACACTTGTCTGTGCAAGTTCAATCCGGACAAAATCCCAACCTGGAAAGTGGAGGTAGGTAGGAAGTCATACGCCTAGTTTAGGTTCTATTGGCAAGTGGTAGGTTCTTGGAGAGGCCAACTCAAGGATCTCAAAGTTGAGGTAGGTTTGGCTCTGGCAGGAATTGTAGGGGGCTACTATAATCAAAACATATGTAATTTTCAAAAGATAAATATATGAATATATTATAAATATATTATATGTGCCCACATAGGTATTATATATTTATGTTCTCTTCATATACACTGCTAAAGTTGATCCATAAATGGGTAAATAATCATGGAAGTCAGGGTGCATTGGTGTGTATGATATTCAGAAATAGTGTATGATGTTCAGAAATATATAAAGACTCAATACAAAATTAAAATTTATCTTAATACATTTGTGACTAACTTCAAAGTCTAGCCATGGGCCCTTCCACATTCCCTACATCACAATTTATGCTTACTTTTGGGGGGTTAACAAGAAAAAAGAAACAATGTATAAAATATTGCTAATAATATTGACCCTTTGAACCATCACCGAAGTAGAGGAGTTTAAATACATGAATTAATAGCAATTTGCATCTTGGATATTTTCAGCCAAAAAGTTCATTCTTTTGATGTCTTCATTGCATAACCAGTGAACACATAAGAGAGTTGTGTATGTAAAATCCTCAAGATGAAACACACCAAATAAAACTCATTTTCAGGATAGCTTTTGGTTAATTTTTATATTGTAATATAATTTATTTGAATAGCTGAGGATATATATTTCCATTGAAATATACATATAATCCTGTATTTGAAAGTCAAGTATATCATAGGTGAGGCCATAGTTTGGTCCCCTGCCTAGTTTGTCATTTCTATTTGACAGATACAAGACAATTAAGTGGGATAGTGCTTTTTGTTCTTTGAGTGTGGATATCTGACTTAGTTTTTGGCCTAAAAGCATGTGAAAGAGCAGAAATATTTTTAAGTGTAATATATATTTGAATATATCTTTTACACACTATAAAGTAATTTGCAAATATATCAGTAATACTCAATTCTAAATTTATTAAATTTTATTGCATTCTGGAAAATTATATAAATTTTGTCTTTAGTTTTTTTCTATCTTTTATGTTCAAACAATTTAAATATTTTAATAAAGTATATGCCAATAGCCTGTGAATATTACCTTCATTTTTATTTCTCTCTAATTTTTTTCTTATTCATAGTGCATATTTTTCCTGATCTTTCCTGGGACATGTCAGAAAGATATATGACTTCAGGGTAAAAACATGTTCTTCAGCTGTAGTTTTTATACCAGTGAAGCACACAAAAGTTGATCTTGTTAGGTGAAATACATCTATAATTTTTTATTTTAAGGGCAAGTATGTTTGTAAGAAATGGATCCCACACTGTCAAGATTATTTGTTGCAATTACAAAATATTTACATATATAAATAATTCAATTCTTCTTATGGACAGGAAAACTTTATTTGATACAAAGTGGAGTATGTGTTAAACACACTTTCCTTCATTTTATGTACCGGACAATGGTTTCTCCTGACTATCTTAGTGCTACTCTGCATTTCATCTTTATAGTTCATCATGCAATACCCACAACCTCTACCAATCTGAAAACATTACTAAGGAATTAGTAAACAAGTCAGAAAAGTTAATTGGAGCTATGCTATGTTGCTATAGTCTCTTTTTACAGGTTTTTAACTGCCTTTAATACTTTATCAAAGGGAAATATGGATGTTTTGATGTTTTATCTTAGGACCTTTTGCCTTAGCCATCTCAAAGTAGAGTTCACAGAAGTAGTTATCAGTCTGATGATCTTTGTAATATCAATGTACATGACAATACCATTCTCAAAGTAGATTTAAACCTTTTTGCTTTTCAACTAAAAAAAAAAACATGAAACATAAAATGGTGAGTGTTAATGAATTACTATGCACTATCTGATGGACTCACATTGGATGCTGTATCTGTGGCTCATTTCCTGCGTGTTACACACTTTGTTAAGTTGGAGATGACACAGCCTGTCACTCAACCCAAGGAGCTTCTTCACTAGGCAGTACCTTCTTTCTCCTGATCTTCCCTCTAGATTTCGGAAAGATGGAGTCACTATTTTGAGGATTCCAGTTAGACACTTGGTTTCCTTACCCTGTACCGTCTTCATTCATAAACATCAAATAAGAATTTAGTAGACTGTCTACTTGCTTCCCTCCTAGAACTCCCTGATCAGCTACCTGTGAATCAGACCATAGCACTGCTTCGATCTTGTTGTCCTCATGCTAAACATAACCATCTTGTAGTTGGTACTTAAATTCTGTCACGTGTATCATTATTGCCTTTTTAAGGTTTCTAGCTCAGGGTACAACATGTTATTGGACTTAGTCAAAGATTGCTTTTTTTCAGTGACAAAAAAGTCGTCACAAGTATTTGATGTTTCAGAGTTGTTGGGTGGATAGAAGGAAAAAATTATTTTCTTTGGTTTTTAACTTTTTAAAAATAGTCATGTACTGGAATTGACTTAGAAACAGATCTCGGAAGCCTCATTCTTTTTTTTTTTTTTTTGTAGATGAGCTGTTTTATTTTTTTATTATTTTTATTTTTATTATTAGTTACACTTTATTAACTCTGTATCCCAGCTATATCCCGCTCCCTCATTCCCTCTCAATCCTACCCTCCCTCCCTCATCTCCTCCCTGCCCCTTGCCAAGTCCACTGATTGGGGAGGACCTCCTCCCCTTTCATCTGACCCTGTTTTATCAGGTATCTTCAGGACTGGCTGCAAAGTCCTCCTCTGTGGCCCAGCAGGACTGCTCCTCCCTTTGAGGGGTGGGGAGGTCAAAGAGCCTGCCATTGAGCTCCTGTCAGAAATAGTCCCTGTTCCACTTACTATGGGAAACCAATTGGTTACTGAGCTACCACGGGCTTCATCTGAGCAGAGGTTCTAGGTTATATCCATACATGGTCCTTGGTGGAGTGTCAATCTCAGAAAAGACCCTGTGCCCAGATATATTTGGTCCTTGTGGAGTTCCTATTGTTTCCACGTCAAACTAACTCCCCTTCTTTCATATGATTCCCTGCGCTCTGCTGAAGGTTTGGTTATGAGTCTTAGTATCTGCTTTGATACACTGTTAGGTAGAGTCTTTCAGAGGCCCTCTGAGGTGAAGCCTCATTCTTTTGGGTGTTTTTCCTATTGTGTTCAGAGTCCATTTTTTGCATGTATTTTTTTAATTAAACTTTATTTTTATATTAATTACAGTTTATTCACTCTGTACCCCAGCTATAGCCCCCTCCCTCTTTCTTTTCCAATCCCACCCTCTCTCCCTCATCTCTGCCCATTCCCCTCTCCAAGTCTACTGATAGGGGAGGTCCTCCTTTCTTCCATCTGAGCCTAGCTTATCAGGTCTCATCAGGCCTGGCTGCTTTGTCCTTCTCTATGGACTGGCCAGGCTGCTCCCCCCACAAACAGGGGTCTGGTCAAAGAGCCAGCCACTGAGTTCATGTCAGAGAAAGTACCTGTTCCCCTTACTAGGGAACCCATTTGAGCAGGTAAAAGTTAGAAATAGTTTCACTTTATTTAGTATTTAGTGCTCTTTTTCATCCTGTGTGGTCAAATTTATTACATTTAAACATGTCACTCATTATTTTGCTGAATATCAAGTTATTTAGTATGTTTTGAGCTTGTGTACAATGTTCACATCCCTAGTATGTGTCCTACCATTCTAAATTGGAAAAAATATATCTAGAAACTAAATGAATATGTAATGCACATAACTTATAATCTTGTTCAATAAGGTGCCTCACACTGAAGCAAAGTAATTAGAGTTTTCATTTACCTAATAATTGCCTACTAATTACTTTCAAAGGATTAGATCAATTTTTAATGGAAGTGGAATTATGTCATCCTGCCATAACATTTGTGGTGTCAATACTAATGATTTTTATATTTCCTAGTAGAGTTAAAAATATGATCTTGTTAATAAGAGTTCTTTATCAGGGATAAAATGACTGTTAACTAAATTTCCAGGATTTGTTTTCTGCTTTCCTCTCACCAACAAATGATGCCAACAGGAATGTCTGAGTATTGTCAATTTTAAATCAAATAATTTACTACCGTGAATATATGATCAAATTTATTTTAGCTTTTCTTTTAAACCAACAGTTGATAATCTACCAGACTAAATATCTAAATAGTAAAGCATATTAAGGCTTACTGTTTTGAAATTAAGAGAATATGTATACATATATTTATTTAATTTTATTTTTCTTCACTCTATAGAGAAATGATGAAGAAGCAGTTGTGGATAGAGGTGGAACACGTTCTATTCTCAAAACGCATTTTGAGAAAGAAGATTTAGAAGGTGAGACATTATTTTGGTGGGATAGTTGATAACTTTCCATGGGCATTTCAAAGGGACATGTAAATCTTTTAATTGTGGAGAACTGAAAAATGTTGATATAAAAATAATGATGTTGGACCAGTGTGTTGTAGATATGATTGTTCTGGTACAGTCTAGAATTCCAACAGACAGACCTGTAAATAGTGAGAAGCATTTGTTCATGCACGAGTGTTTTTTAAATCCAGTCAATATTCTAGAGAAAATATGTGACAGATTTTCAATAATGCCTGCTCCAATGAACAATAATTAATTAGAGACTAATTAAGAAAAAATAGAGATATATCATATATGTTATGCTAGGACAAAAAGAGCCTGTTATCAGAGTAGGTAGGCTGTAACAGGAAGCAAATTAAGGGCAGTTGGTCTTCTATTCAACTATCAGAATGAGAAAGAAACTCCATTCCTATGTGTTGTCTTCAATAAGGAGGATTGCTAATCCAGAGGGCAAGACAGTCATTCTAGTTTAGTTGTACACACTCTCAGCAGACTGTGGTAGGTCCTAATGTCGGAGCTGTCCCTTCATTAGCTTAGGGCCTTTAATTAACTTTGGTATCTTAATTCTCTCCATTGTTAGCACATTGAAAGCAATGTATATATCTTAAGCATTTTTAGAAAATCAAGGGCAGGCTGTTTGACCCCCCCCCCCCCCGGGGAGGAGCAGTCCTGTTAGGTCACAGAGGAGGACTCTACAGCCAGCCCTGAAGATACCTGATAAAACAGGGCCAAATTAAAGGGAAGGAGGTCCTCCCCTATCAGTGGACTTGGAAAGGGGCAGGGAGGAGACCAGGGAGGGAGTGCGGGGTTGGGGAGGGAATGAGGGAGTGGGATACAGCTGGGACACAGAGTTAACAAAATGTAACTAAAAAGAAAAATAAAATTAAAAAAAAAAGAAAATCAAGATACTTAGAAATAGAGTAATATACTATCAGTGACTATTAGACCACAATTTAATATTCATGATGAATTTATGTCTTTAAGCAGACTTTTTTCATAGCTTAGATAGAGGATATACAATATTTCTTGTTTGAATGAGGGTAAAATCTAGATGGTCTTAGGTATAGGTAATCAGAACTGATTATCTATTGAGTGGAGAAACAGAATGTTTTTCAATTTAAGCATTGCAATATAAGCTTTTAAATTGCAATTAGTTTAAATATTTTGAGTCTCATTTTTAGTTGCAATAATTTCATAGCAAGATAGTTGATAAAATATTTGGAAACATCTTTTATGAACACAGACAGTGTTGATAATATTCATTGTCTGTGTCAGGTATTTTACAGGTATGGTACACAAAAAATAATATACACATCCAAGAAGGTCACACTTATTACATGAACTTAGTGATTTGCTCAACCTCTCATATTTATTGTATAAATTATAGATAAAAACCTTGAAAATTAAAGTTTTAATGTTTCATAGAATATAAATTTTCTTGGGTTGGACACCAATATATCACAGTTTTTTTTTCCTTAGAATTCTTCATTTATTCAACTTTAACCACGTAAAGAAGACCATGTATATAGATACTGTTAATCTTAAAAATAAGGCTTATCTTCTACAACTCATGCTGTTGGGGCATAATTAGAATAATCAGTTTGATTCTAAGTATAATCAGAATGAGGCAGAATAGGAAAAGTTACAGAGATGAAAAATGGGCTTTCTAATTTAAAAGGAAATACTATAAATTTTTAATTCCTAGGGAAGAATAAATTGCTAATAAACAGTGACTTGACTATAGGAGAAGTAATGAAGCAGTTCTACTTCCATGAGGGAAATTATTTTAGAATCCCCGCGGCAAAAGACAGAGAACTCTGAGCTGAGGACTGTTAAAAAAACATTCTGAACCGTTGAATGATTATTACTATTTAATATTGATTTGTATTTTGGTAAAGCAGCTGTTACTCCCTAACCAACTATAAACCCACATAACCACACGCAGAGGCTAGAATTTATTGGAGTAGCTTAGAGAACAATGCTACGTAATAATTACTTAATCTTAAACCTCCAAGCTAGTATATCTTCCTCCCATTTAGAATTTCCACATTATACTTGCTTTCTAATTATATCCTAGGTCTGGTTTATTTCTCCTGAGGTTTCCTGCTCTTCTCCTCATGGATCCATGCCACACTTCCTCTCCTTTCTCCTTCCATCACTGGACCAGGATGTCCCACCCTATTCTCTGTATTGTTTAGTTGGCTTTTATTGGCAATACAGAGAAGAAATGGTGGCATGTTTTCACACACTTGAGACAGGAGATGCTTAGAATAAACATCACAGTGCAATGCCAGAATTGAAACCAAGTAGTGGGATGGAGAAATCAGCATTTGAATGAACAAGGGTAAATTGTATACACGCAACAAGAATATTATGTCAGCACTGTGCTAAAGGTTTCACGCATCTATCTTTCTGTGTTCTTGTGTGATACAACCCACTGAAAAGAAACAGGAATCAAATTCTACCAACAGAAGCCTCCCTGAACATCCTGTGTTGATGCCTAGGGGAACTGTGTCTCCTGAAGTAGCCTTTAAAATAACTAAAGGGAGAAAGCTGAAGTGTATGCTGATAGGCTATTTTATCTTTCCCGCTAGGAAAAAAAAATATCTACTATCTCAAGGTTGAAACAAAATGAAACCACGAGTACAGATTCTTGAATTGTTCTTCGCTCATCTCTCTGTTAATATGGGCAAGAGTAGTTGAGTTTACAAAATTAGGAAAGAAGGAGCTTGCATCAGCAGGACAGTGGATCTCTAATTTTTCTGTATTTCCTATAAAATACATTAATAGTGAGGTAGAGGTTAGAGAGGGAGGTACAGACATCCATTCCAAGTGAATGTGACATCAGAGCCCAGTTGGAATTTTTCATTATTAATGTTATACATATATATACATATACATACACATACACATATAAATAAAACCTGCTGAATCCATTAACGTTGCTCCTATGTATGTGTGTGGGGCTAACCACTTGCTATTAGGTTATAAATTAGGGGGCTCATTCCTGGAGAAGTGGATTCTCCTTCTTTCAGTGGTCATTGACTTCCTGTAGCTCTTCATTTAGGGGCAGAACCATGGTGATCATTGGCATATTAACTGGTTGTATTATTCATCAGGTCTTGATTAGGCTACACATTATTATGATTTCATGGGTGCAGACTTACTGTCTTATACTGAAGGCACAGTCTCTCAGCAGATGGCCTGGTCCCTTGTGCTCACAGTCTTTCTCCCCCCTCTTCTCTAGGGTTCGCTCAGACTTGAGAATAGCCAGCCACCAGACAGGTTGAGAATCCCAATTAGCCACCGTGTTCCCATTCCCCTCCTGATTCCTTATGGTCCTTCCAGTTCTCTGGCAGCTTGCCTCAGACAGCCCTCTCAGCCCATCTTCCTTACTTTGGGACTTTCTGACCAGTTAGTTTATTTTTTATTTTATTTTATTTTGTTATTTTATTTTTTCTTTTGGTTTTTCAAGACAGGGTTTTTCTATGTAGCCTTGGCTGTCCTGGGTTCACTTTGTAGACCATGCTGGCATTGAAGCCAGAGAGATCCTCCTGCCTCTGCCTCCCTGAGTGCGTGTGCCACGGCACGCAGCTGACCAGTTAGATTTTAAGGAATTGAATCTATTCAGTCAGAAGCAAACTGACAAAATTTCATACTTATAAAATAATCGTTATGAATTCAGGAACGAGGCATTTGATTTTATACGTAATTTTATAAGTAGGTACCGACTCATGGCATTAATATTATGGATTGAAATTTTGCATGTGATGGTTAAATCCGTCTCTCTACCTTTGGCTTGATGCATTTTACAGTAAGGCTAAATAAAATTGGTCTTTGGTTTCAGGAATTCCATTGATCACACTTGACAAGTTATGCATATCTCCCCCCAAAAATGCACCAAGAAACGCAACTCAGAAAGAAGGTAGTATAGAAATATGTTCACGATCATGAAAAAGCCATCTTGTAGTTCAATACTGGCAGTGATAAGCCACACACAGATAAATGAAAATTATCACCTAATAATTCACAAGTAATTAAAGCAAAATACTGAATATAGATATAGTATTATCTATATTATGTATTAGATTTAGGTATAGTACATTATTGAAAAATAATGCAATTATTATAGCTACATTATTACATATATTTTCTGCGCCAAATGTCATCACGGCGTACAGAATGATTAGTGTGAGATTTCCAGTTGGCAGACCACATTTGGCTTGTTCTTCACTGATGTCTGTGAATAGGCATTTTCGTTCGAGGACAGTGGTTCTCAACCTTCCCAATGCGTGTGACCTTTTAACCATAGGTTCTCATGTTGTGGTGACCCCCAACCATAAAATTATTTTTGTTGCTACTTCATAACTCTAATTTTGCTACTGTTATAAATCATAATGTAAGTATCTGAAATGTGATCCCCAAAGGAGTGGTGACACACAGGTTCAGAACTAATGTCCTAGAAGTTACTGATTAGAGTTAAGTCATTTATGATGAAAGTTAGTCATAGAAGCAAAGATGACATTACATTATATATTTTTTAAATGTTATTTCAATTTTAAAATAGAAACAAATCATATTTACATTGACTATTATTTTTCCTATCTCCAGGACAGAGCAAATAGACAAGCACCTGTGCTATTAAAGGGTCTATAATTTACACACATGTTTACGAGATCTGGATGTACTTGGAATTGCGTACTATAAGAGTGATATATAAGATGAAGTGGTTTAGGAGGAAGAAGGAGAATACCAGTAATGAGGGAGGCAGCACTGAAGTTATGGAGATGGGAACCATTCCCTTTGTGTAATGAAAAATAATATGACTTTAAGGAGCATACTTAGTGACAGATAACACAAAATACATATTTGAAATGGAAGAGACAAACACTTTATAAATACAAACTTCTATCAAGCAAACATTTTCTATTTGAAAATTGTTGCTTCCTAGGATTTATGTGTATCTT